TGTTCTAACATCATCCACTACAATAGCTGAGAAGCTGAGCATTCCACTTTAACATTATGAACAGTACTACAAAAGTATACAAAGCAATACAAATACCACTTTAGGGATACTCCACCCTGCCCTTACCCACCCAAACAGCAGACTGGGACATATTTAAAGTTTTCTTTTAAAAGATAGTTTGTCATACTTTTTACGTTGTTCTTTGGTCCACAATGTCTTTGTGTACATACATCACACAGTAGTTTATTGGTCTCAGTAAGTTTTTCATTATGGGTAAACTGATATAAACAGTGATGGATTGAACCTTCTTCTGGGTTCAGATCTTCCCTGTTTGCCAGAGTACAAAATGCCATTTCAGGATCTTCCATCAATACTTCATGTGTCTTGTTGGGAACCGTATGAAGGTCATCTAAAGTGTTTGTATCAGGTTCACTGGCAGCCAAGTGTAGTTTTGAAAAGTCAGTAGCAAGCTCTTCCTCATCTTCATTGTCATCATCCTCATCTTTCAATGACAAGCTGTCAAGGCCATTGACAAACTTTACAGGAGAATCTAAGCCTTCCACAGGGAGATCTGTGAGAGACTTATTTTCTACACACTCTTGCTCTGGCTTTGCTGTATTTTCATGCATGCTCTGAACTTCTGTACTACTTCCCTGTATACTTGAGTCTTTTTGAGTTAAGCAGTGATCTTTGCAATCATTTGATGATTCCTCTGGTTGCTTCACGTCAAGAGTTTCAGAGTTAATTTCTGTCTCTGATTCTTGGTTATACTTGACATCCATCTCCGACCGTTCAGTTGCACAGAGATCTGCCAAGTGAAGCATTTTTCCTTGAAGTTTTTGCTGGCGGCGCTGGCTCTGCACATTTGAATACATAATACACAAGAGTACAAAAAACAGAGTAAGTATAAATTATATTTAGCATTTCTTAACACTTACCAAAATTTTTGTTGCATGCCATAGACCCACAAGGTGAAAGGAGGGCAGAATAATCTATGATTTAGTGATCAGAGGTGATCAATTTCAACAATACTGAATTTATCCCCACTCAGATGTAGTTCCCACTGTTCCTGGTTATACAGTATCTTCAAAATACAACTAACAATTCCTTTTATATCCTCCTGATCCTTTCCTATGTCTGTATTCTAAAGTTCTGTGAATATTCTTGCAATCAATGCCTGGAGAACTGCTGTCTGATACAAATTAAGGCTACTTCATGCAGGCAATGAATTCCACATTCCTCTGGATCTTAGCTTACTCCTAAGCACAGCAGCTATTAATAGAACATGTTAATTTCTTAATAGCAAAGATATAGACATAATTGGTCTTTTCACCTGTGCACTTGAGTGAGGAGAATTCTAAGCTGTCTTCTCCTTCATCTAAATTAAGGAAGCATAAAGAATTTGCTCTACCAGAAATTGCAAGCACAAAGTTAAATACTTATCCAAACCAACCTTGGCTTGTTTTTTGGCCTGTTTCTTCACTTTTTTCTGAAGGTGCTTACTTATAGCAGGGGGCTCATCTTTCTGTTTAAGGTAGTGGTCATTGATTTTATCCTCTTCATCTTCGGATTCCTTTTCTTTGTTTTTTTTAACATTTTCTCTCTTTGTAATTTTTGCTTTCTACAAAAACGAAGAAGCCACAAAACAACCACAGAAATACAGATGTTAATGTGCTGAATAATAAAGCAGTGTTCCAAAGAAAACTGTAGGGATGAGATGTTATCTGAGTTGTCAGCTCAAGATAACACATTTTAATGCTTTAGCATACAACTAACTCACACCCTAACGTTTACAGAAAGGGTGTCTCACTCCAGAGGGAGTCCGTGTCAAACAAGCACTTGCAGAATGAAACAGCATGTAAAGTTAAGGCTATCAAGGGCCAAATCTGAACCTGTAAAGGGACATTACCTTGGCCTCTACCAGATTTAAATCTCATTAAATGCATCTAAGAGTAACATTTTACACAAGCAGAGACAATTTCAGTTGACCTGCCTGCCACAGAATTTGTTTGTTTCTGCTAAAATGAAATTCGTGGCAGAATATATGTGATCCCTTTGGCTGTGGGGGCTTCATTTCAATACTCATTAACTTTCGTGTGACCAGTGCTAAACAACAAATATGAGATATTACATATACAGATTATCAATATGAAAGACAAAGTATTTTGAATGTCTAGAGATCGATCAAATAAATTAATATATAACTACTATATAAGACAGTATTCACATACTATTCCATCAACATTTCTTTACTCAATAACCTGAATTTTAGGAGAGGTGTTCTTGGACTCAACACAGAAACATGGATGAAAAAGTGGAAAAAAATACATTCAAGCAACTTGTGTGATTTTCTAGACACAATTTATGAGCCACAACTTAGAGTAATGACTCTCATGAAAAAATCTTATTCTCTTTCTGCGCAAATTTATAATTTTAACTTGCAAGAGAGACTTCTAGAAAGATGCATGAATTCACTCCCTAATGACTGTATAATAAAAGTGTTTTCATAGAAGCAAACAAAAACTATGCCAAAAAGCAGCACGTACAATTTCTTACCTGAACATCTAGTACAGGAAGCGACAAATCAAGAAAAGGCTCATGGACCAAGGATACCTTTAAATGAATAATCAAGAGTCCAAATTAATTTTGTTTGGAAGCAGCTGACTTGCTGTCAACAGGCTTATTTGTACATTTGCATTCAAGGTCTGCTTTCACTTATGCACAAATGTAAAACACAGCTCATCTACCTTCACGAACAGCTTCCCATGACCAAAGTCTAGCAGCCACATTACCACAGAAATAAGCAAGAAATAATTTTACAAATTTCAGTTATCTAGTGACCTAAAATGTGAGAATGCAGCCTAGACCCTAGGAGCCTGATGGCCGCAATCTGTCATGACATTAACCTAGCCCACTTGCTATTACCCTCAGATACTTCCTTCCCAGGATGCATTATCCCAGTACAGCCTTCTTATCTGTTCTTGTGGCAGTCCCACAGTCATTTCAGTGTGGGAAAGGAAAGACCTAATCACCTAATCACCTGATGAAAAAGGAAAGGGCCCCTGACCCCGTTCTGCTAGTAGCAGAACAATTCATTTGGTCTACACTGGAAGGCGTTCACTGGAAATCTAAGAGGGAATTCTTCTGGCAGAGGAGGCTTGCTGTTACTGACCTCTTTTTCTGGATGGCTTCTGAAAGGAACTGCAAGATTAAGTTTATAACACAAGGGAAGAAAAATTCCAGCCAAATCATGCCCTTCTTTGAAAAGCATGCAGCTAGTCAACTCATTTCTACAGACAGTCACTTTGGGGTTCTGCAAATTGCAGAGTATTATACTCTAGGCTATTTGAAGCAGGCAGTTTACTTACAGTTCTGCATTCCTCACACATAATCATGCTGGTTAATTCTCCACCAAAGATTCGGTCTACAAAACTCTGTATTCCCTTTTTCTTTTCATATTCTGAGAAATGAAAAAGTATATAGTAAAGTTAATAATATTACAGTACCATACTGGCAATCAATTTCATTATGGCATACCAAATAAAAAGAGAATGCATGATGGAATGTGTTAGCCTGTTCTAGTTTCCTCAGGACAGGAAGTACAGCAAGATTCTAAAACTAAGAATCTTTTGTATATCAAAGGAATGAGGGTGAAAACACATTTGCAGAACACAGCCTGGCTAAACCAACACCTCTACCACATTCTTGACTCAAATGCATTTCCCTATTTTCTCAGAAGTACTGCATGCCAGTAAGAATTCCTGTTTTCTCTTACGACTTACACAACTACTTGAACTTAAAAACACAAACACCAACTTTTGTCTGTATTGACACCTGACAAACAAAACCAATTTCCTCAAGTTGTACTTTCAGAGTTGCATATAGCCTGAATTTGAACTTGCTCTTCATCTTCTAACCTAAATAATGTTGAAAAGTTTAAAAATTTTGTTCAGTTTGCGTTTTTTATACCACTGTAAAGTAATAGTGGACTGTTAGGGGTTGCATAAAATATACTCATATGCTAATATTTAAATTCCTTATACATTTGAATGATTTAACACTACCTAAATATACTTTAATGCATAATGTTTACAGAAGCAACTCTTCTACCCTGTTAAGAAGGAAACACCACCAAGAACAGCAAGACATTTAAATTTAGCCTAAAACTTTTGAGCCTCATATACTAGATAGACACATATTCAAAGGTGGCATAAAGTTGTACAATTAAACATGTATCTTTTAGTTGATACTATTAACGTTAGTTTATATACTTCAACAAAAGAACATTTTACATGTTACTGATGCTGTGATAATTTCTTTTACCTTTAATTTTATTTTTAAGTTCTTCTTCATTTTGTTTGTTAGAGTCAGTCAGCGCCTTCAGTATTCCAACACTTACTTGCTGAAATTTTCAAAACAAATATACACTGTAACATTTCCTAGATTAATTCAGTTAACTAGTTCATTTTAAAAAATGTTTCAGATGGAGGAAAAAGTTTAATCCTCACCAATTAAGAGAATCAATACAAACAATACAAATACCTGTAGAGATACAAAATAGTTCCTGCAGATATTAAAAACTCATAATCAACCCAGAAACAGGCTTGCAATCATCATACTGCAATTAATATGTAATAAAATCAGTCTAAGGATGAAATACTTGCCCAGACTAAAACTGGGAAAAAAAAATAAATTATGTAATTTTCCCAAGTGCATTTCAGAACTTAAGACAAAATGACATTCTTTATGGCGACTACACATACTCCAAGTCCACTTTTTCGGTGGGTTCTTTTTACTAATCTGCTTCATATAAGTGCTATGGGCAGCACAACCACTCCAAAGAGGCTGATATATCTGAGAAAGAACACTATTGCTCCCCTCAGCAGCGGGGAAAGTCTGGGTCTGGGGTATGAAGATGAAAAGTATGCATGACTATGAAATTAGCACTCACCTGAATTTCTTCTGCTCTCATTCCATCGAGTAAGTAACGAAGCAATTCATGACTGTCTTGCTGCTGATAACCTTTAAATCGTATTGCTCTGTTAAATGAAACATGAATTGTAACATATAACTGAACTCATAAACAAATTCACCCCAGACATAAAAGGACAAAGTATCCAGAATGTAAACATATAAAAGCCACAAGTATCTACATATGGTATTTTCTCAAAATATGAAGCCAGCTAATCAGTATATGTAACAGAATATCTTTTACTGCTATTCATTTGTATTTTGCTCTTTATCCTCTTCTTTCAAAACTTATTAAGCATTCTACAGATTTTATATGCTGTGATGTGAGCCTGAGATAAAAAAGGGAATAAACTATCTTTTAAATGAGAAACTTTTTTCATACTCACTATGATGTGCAATTCTACAGATACTCACTTTTTACAAACCTGAGCAAAAAGTTCCTTAGGAGTGACTACCCCTCTCTTTGTTTCTTGCATTTCTGTCAGGAACTGATGCATGGCTAACGTCAAAGGACCTGGCTGATCTAGTTTTATCAGCTGAGGTTCCTGCTTGAACAAAAGCAACAAGAGTTGTTTTGCCTTAATTCAGTGACAAGATTCTTCTGTAGTAAGTTTTTCTATCTAAACCTTTCAGTTCCTGAAAACACTACTGTAAAATAGAATTCACAAAACTCCAAAATGGCAGTAAGTTAACCTGGCAAAAACAATCAACACGTAGTTTACCATGAGATGATACCGAAACTCATTAATTATTCATTGCTTAGTTCCAAGTCTGGATTTCTTATTTTAACTAGGAAAAAAATCAAATTTCTTACACAAATGCACCACCCTTCTTTCCCATCCAAATCCCTAACTGCAATGACAAATGCATTAAGGCAGTGCTACAGACATCTTCTAGTTTCCTATTTTATGTTTAGACAAGTGACACTTGAGTTACACATTTTAATCCTTTAAATAACTTAACCATAATGCAAGCACTCCTTTTATGACAACCAAGAGTTAGAGTACTGAATCACTGCTCTTTCGCTGTGAACAAAAGACCTCCACTGACTTCAGAAGCAGATTTATGGAAGTCAATGGTGAAGTTCAAAAAAAATTTTACACCCTTGTTAGTATTTAGCTGAAACAGCTTTAAAATCCAGAGATAAGTACTCCTTGTTTCCTTAATAGACTGGAAGGATGGGGACAAACACTATGGAGGTCAAAGCATATTACCATGGATAACTCAGGCAAGTCGATTTTAACTGTTGTGCCAGGCATTTTAGCTTCCTTAAGCAGCTCCCTCAGGACTGGAGTTTGTGATAAATTCTTAGTATTTAGCTGAAACAGCTTTAAAATCCAGAGATAAGTACTCCTTGTTTCCTTAATAGACTGGAAGGATGGGGACAAACACTATGGAGGTCAAAGCATATTACCATGGATAACTCAGGCAAGTCGATTTTAACTGTTGTGCCAGGCATTTTAGCTTCCTTAAGCAGCTCCCTCAGGACTGGAGTTTGTGATAAATTCTGTAGAACATAAAAGAAAGAAAGAGATTGGTAGCTGGAGACAATAGGAAGGGCAGCTGAATTCCACTAATGGTATTTGTAGCAACCACATTAGCAGCCATTTATTTTTTCTCAGAACTAGTGGTAACTACCACTCTGGAATTTCTATCTGTGTTTGCCACACAAACTTCCAAGTGCTCTCCATAAATATTACTTTAGATTCTATTATTCTTCACAGTCTACTGTTCTTCTACAGACTGATCATTTGACAAGTGTATTTACTAGTGCCTGTTTCTAACAATCAAAAGGTAAAAGGCAGTGTGTGTGCTTACTTGGTTTAGAAAGTGCTTAAAAATAAATCAAAATCAAAGTTTACTAAAACGTACAAGTACGGTGGTAATTCTGTCTGCATAAAGCTTCAATATCAAGAGCCAAGGAGCACAAGATCACACGTGAGTTTTAACACACATGAAAGAGCAGGTTTATTCTACTCAAACACTTCTTAGCTGAAGAAGACACACAGGATATCAATACAACATGCTCTTCCTGTTAATATTTACTTTTATTTGATTTCCTGTTGCTGAGAGAGACATTTGTGGGTCAGTAAACACTTACAGTCTTCAGCTACTAATCTCTTAAGTTCAAAGATCAGCAAGAGTGTTGTGTCAGACTATTTCACTTTATTTACTAATCCAGGGAGCTGGCATATTCAATTTACATCAGTGAAAAATGCTGTCCCTCAAGGACAAGGCAGTTTGTTATATTTCCCCCTAGAGCAGATCTGAACCTGCAGCTTCATTTCTTCATATTTCTCTGGGCCAACACACTATTTTTATAAAGAACCCATCACTCTTGGCAGATAAAAATCATATTGAGATTCTGTCACTGTGAAATGCCTGGGACTGGGTTGCTGTGGGCTGTTTTTTTATTTTTTTGGGGTTTTCTTTTCCTATCCAAAGGTGTTTTTTTTAAAAGCAGTAATAATTTCTGTACCTGCATCACTGCATTAAAGAAGCATGTGTTCCCCAAGTTACTAAGTCCTTTCACAGTGACTTCCAAGTTAGTAGTTGAACGAGAATTCTCTTCTTTAAGTGAGACTTCTTTTTCTTGCTCATTCTTGCTGTCTTTTTCTACTTTTTTATTTTCAAGCTCTTGGTGTTCTTGTTGTTTTTCTACTGAAATAAAAAACCCCAAACAAACACCATCACATATTAACCAGGAACAGGGAACAGACTAGGAAAAAATTACTATAGGCAGCAGCATCCACGATGTTCAAAATTTACACTTATTCTGTAATTGTATAAATGTAACACTACTGGTTTAGATCTTAAACTGTCTAGGTAACAGAAGCTAAAAAAGTAAACCGGACAAACCAACCACAAACAGAAATCAAGAACCCTCTGAAATGTCATTTCAAATCTGCATGCAAGTGGAATATGTCTCTTGGCCCACAAGCCATTCACACCAACAACCTCTGAAACTCTGCAAGTGTTATCTCACATTTCATTCCTATTGCAAAAACACCTATTTTAGGGCTTTATACAACACACAACACGATGGCATCAGAGATAATAACCCTTTAACATGGCACTGTTGTCTGAAAGGAAATGCACAGGCTCCCACTGTAAAAGTATTCTCATATTCATTTACCTAAACAGATGATACTGAAAAGCTTATATTCTTCAAGACACATTAAAGATATTTTACATGAAATTACTTTAGTGTATTGCTCAAAATAAGGAAATTCCAGGCAATTTCCAGAATAACACCTACACTTCTGCCAGTTCTTCCAGTTTGGCAGTCAGACGGTGATTAGGTTTCTGACAAACAGGCCTGTGAGCCAATATTAACTTTAAAATCAAGTTAACATCAGCACAGAGAAAGCAAGGAAAACAGACAATACAATCTTTGGCCAAGAAACAGATGGATGGACAACAACAGATGGAACACCTGAAACAGGCAACAACTGTACCCAGGTATTCATCCATCTTCCAGTTCAAACCTGAGGAGAAAATTTTCAAAATCTGATACGAAATTCAAATATTAGATGTAGAGAACTGTGTGCCTGCGACAGACTGACACACTGATTCTGCTTCCTGTGGGAAAACCTCAGCTGCTTTCTCAACAGATATTCAGAGATGGACACGTGGCATTGCTGGGTGGCTGTGATCCGTCTCCTAAGGGACCTGTGATTCACCTTTGGAATTTTTGATGGCCACTAGTTATAGCATTTATTTTCATATGCAAATTCTTCCAAGTTTTCTAGTGGAAATGCCTTGTACAATGCCACTGTGGAAATTGGGGAGGGGGGTGTTGCTGAGTTTATTTTCTTTTAAACAATCATGTTTTATAGATAAACTGAACACACTACTTGAGAGAGTTCTGAAAGTACTGCAGCTAATTATACTAAATGTAAAGACCCAGTGACAAAACCTTTTGTATACTCCTTCTATTAGGAAATGTGCTGCAACAACTGGAGACTTAGTCATTGCAGCTGATACAGTTACAAATGCATACAAAAATATTTATTAAAAAATCAAATCCTTAAGTAATGAGAGTTTTCCTTTAGATATCAAGACAGATCTCAAGACGGACTGGGCAGCACTGATGAATAAACACAGCAATCCTAAGTACTGAAATTTCCTACTGGCAGAATAACTGAATGTCACATTTTAAAAAAAGCCACAGTAAAACTGGCTTTTTTTCCCCTCTCATTCTGGTATTTCTGGTCTGTAAAGGTTTATGGAACACTAAGCAAAATCCTGACCCAATTAGGTACATGGGCTAGGATGTCACTTACGCTATCAGAATTGTGACAAAGGAAAAAAACCAAGGGAGAAATTAGGTTTTTCCTTTACCATGAGGTGCTAGATCTAATTTAGTATAAATTCTGGATTTACAGTACTGTCTCGTACTTTAGGGGGCTCTCTGATTTACTGTACCTATACTACAATTACTTACCTGTTTGTGATGAGTCAATATGAACTTGTTTTCTAACAAATTCCACAGCTTGGCCCAATCGGGTTGAAGTATTATATGGAACTTCATTATCACATATGTAGCACCTGTCTCCGCCGCCCCCCAAAAGAAAAACAATTAATCCTTTTTTTTTCCTATTATTTAAAAATCTTACACTATTTGCCTGTTTCATTACCAAAAGCTATAAAGTTACAAGATTTAGTTTAAGGTTTAGAAGTCTTTAAAAAATGTAAATAAAAAAAAGACTTCAATCTACTTCTGATCGCAAAACCAAAATGTTTAAAAATGATATGTAATAAATTATTTTGGTGACTGGCAGTTGCAATTTGGAAATATAAATTAGACTCTTAACAGATGTGCTTGGAAACCTTGCTGCAAGAAAATAAATGTGGGGAAAATTTTGTCAAAATCAGGAAGCTCTAATGAAACCACTTAGGAATGTTGTGGCGTGGAAAAATACTCCGAGTATTCTAGCCAAGCAAGTATTTCATTATATTTAAATCGGATAAGATTTATCAGTGTCCACCACTAGACCTGCAGGCTTTTATTTGCTCTTCTGTTGCTGATACAAACCATATTTATCTCTTTATAAGCAAAGAAGTGCATGGTTAGGCCAGTAATTAGCTTTAAACAAAATTGTGAGAGAAACCTCAGTGATACAGGCTCAAGAAGAGTAAAATTCTGCCAGAACACTCACAGGTGAAGGAGTTTTATATGTACCAGTTTTGTAGCTCTGCCCAATCATTCTTTGAAGAGGTGATAATAGGTACTGAAGAGAATGCAGATATTTCTGCACTTTGGAACACATTACAGATTTTTAGCACGAACACATTCAGCAGATTTCAGGCCTACCATGAGTCAGACTCAATTTTTTTAATAATAAGAGCAGCAGAAGTCTGCAGCAGAGTGCTTTCCTAAATCTCTAGCATCCTGCTCATTAAAAAAATTGGTTCAACTTTTGGATCCCTGGCAATCTCATTCCTGGAATAACAAACCATAGTTACTTCCACAGGCAGTTTTAACATCATACTCTTCTATCCATCAAAAAATTTGTAGGCAGTCTTGAAAGAATCAAGTGGTTGGAAAATGTTTTTTCAGCAATGACTTACCAATGGAGGAAGACCATGAGTAGATATAACTGCTGTGTCATAGCAGCAGTGAAAACGTGTACAACAGCAATTGTGAAAAAACCCAAAAGAGAAGAACCAAGTGAATTACTAGAACCCTTCTCTACCTCTCCAAGTTCAAAACAATTCTTTTAACTGTTTACAAGTATTATGAATATCCAATTTGAACCACACACGCATGCACACCATAATGAGATTTATTCACACATTCATAGCATTAATAAAAGCAAATGCAGTTTTGATCAGAATTTATCTACTAGGCCCACTGTGAAATACAATTCCCGACTGTGGATTTAATTTATAACAGTAATTTATAGCCAATATATCAATCTCTGAATCACTTCTTTTGCAAGTTTGTACAAACAAGAAATTCTAGAAGGAAGCAAAAACATCTTGCTTTGACAACTTCCTCTCAGTTGCAAATACTTAAAGCACTTCAAACCCACAACTGTAATACCAATTTAAATTCACAAAAAGAAGTGCACTAGTTCGTTAGAAATGTTACATATTATTAATAATGTACATTTCCATTCTAGAGTTCAATAAAAGTACTGATCATTACAGATAAGTGCTAAATATAATCAAGTAAATAGACAATGTTAAATAAAAGGAATATAATGACAGATGCTAAGTTTTAAAACAAGTTTATAAGCAAAATCCTTTTACTCAGGTACAGTATTTCTTATAGCATGATTTAGAAAATTAGGGTTCCCCCTTATATATTAACGTGTAATTCCTTTTAAGAAGGAAATACTACCAGGGAGATGGATTTTGTATTGACTGATGCACTAGCATCTTGTAATTCTACAGTTGTGCCTCCTGACTCTACATGTGGTATTAAAAAATCATATTTACTGAGAAAATAAAAGTAACTAAGTGCACATCAGAAAGTATCTTCTTCCAAGGTCAAAAGTTAAGAGGTAGAGCTACATATCAACATTTGTTTCAATGTGTCAGTATTCTGACTAAGCAAAACAACTAAAATATGAAGACAATGGCATTTACTGGTTGGTCAATTTCAACTTTGATTGTGAAATTTTTCTAGTTATGAATTGTAACCTTTATTCTACAAATCTCATCAAAGACTGCTGAGAATTACGTGTATGCAAATACTTAATATATGCCTAGAGATAAATCCTAGAATTCACAAAGCAAAGGCAAATTATATCCCAGCCTCTGTTGCCCTCCAGCTGTGTCTTGTAAGTGTTGCCTGCCAAACTCACCACACACTCCAGTTGTCCAAACTGAGAACCAAACAATGGGGATCTGATCTTGGTGTTGCATAATGCTTTAAAGCATGCTGGTCTGGAGAATTTCTGCCACAGCCCTACAATGTTGATAACCAGAAGTGTCACAAAATCCACTTGACTATCAATGGAACATACATAAAGTCAGAGTAGAAACAAAGGATTAACATAATTAAGCAGTTTTAATTTTAAACTAATTAGGATCAATAGATGGGTGTCTATTTCAAGATACTTATCTCTGCAGACAGAAAGGCAACTTACTGGGTGCAGAATAACTATAAAGCTGCTCTGAGACTGAACATTTACTTTACAAATCCTAGTTTGAACAGGTTAAAGAATGAAACAGAACGAAAACTTCTCCAGCATGCAGAGTTCTAAGTTTAATGAACTAATGTAAGCACTAAGATCTTATTGCAAAAAAAATATAAAAATCATACATTAGGAGCATTTTTATTTTCTCAGCAAAACAAAAAGCAAATTAAATAAATAAAACTAAATAAAAGCAAAATAAAAACACTTTCTAGGAAAACAAGTCCTCAAGATGGGGTTTTAGCATGCCTGTGTGCCAAGCTTCCAACTACTTTGTTTGACATTTGGAGTAGACATTTTTTTAATCATGCAACAGTATATAAAATCATTTAGGTAGCACAACTGTTAAAATTTTTTTAAAAAGAGAGAATAGAAGAGTTTAATTAGAAGATCTGTTGTTCCATTCTATTATCAGATACTGAAAGATACTAAGACAAATTAACAACAAAACAGATACCCTATGGCCACATTTTAGGCATAACCATATTGAAGGGCCTTCATCAGTTTGCTCCTCCTCAGACTTCTCTTGTGCCTTATTGTCTGCCTTACATTCCTGACAAACATGTCTGTCCAGGTCCAGCAGTGCCTTTTTCAGATGGCTTTGATCCAATCCTTTACGAATATGTTTGCACACAGGTTCTACAAAATAAAAACACAAGAAGGATGTAGGTATCCTAACAAATGCAAATGTTTAAGATGCAGGCAGCAATCCAGAAGCTAGGACAGTCTTCCTAGAGACAAAGACACACTGACAACTTGGCAGACCTAACAGAAAGAAACCGTTTGTTACCCCCATTCACAATCTGGGGATATTGCTGCTGCATCCTACACTTCTGTATTACCTAAGTATCTTTCAGAGCTATATGCAGTCAGGGGAGTTAACAGAACTTTTGGATAGACACCTACTGACTACGTCAGGCTTTTATCACTGTGGCATTATGATTCCCAAACCTCCCAGAGCACAGCCACAGCCCACTACCAGTTTCCAACCACCAAGGCCACACCTGTCGGGCCTATAAAAGTGGAAATTATGGAGGTTAAGCTTCCAGCAGAGCTGCCTCAGTGAAATTATGCAGATTATCTTTAAAAAAGAATGGGAGCTGTCCTTCCTATGCCATTGTCAATTTGCACTATGATACTACACCCTACTTGGAGCTGCACCTTCTGGGCCTGGCATAGACTCCACCTATTTAACCAAACTCTGCTAAGAATAGTTACACCAAAAACAGGCATCTGTTGCTACAAGCTACCCTCAGGAGTTTAAGTATCTTTTATCTTTTTTGTTTAATTTTTCAAGTTGTTGGTTAGACTTCTGTGAAACTACCATCGAGAAGAACTACACTGCTGTTCGCATAATTCAGCTGTCTCAAGTCCTTTTCTTTGAGGTGTTTTTATTGCTCAGATAGCATAACAGCATTACAGCCTCAAGATGGCAAACTTTGCTTGACGTAAGCTGAAACTGGTGCCAATTTCTGTACCTAGTTCTGTTCCTGTCCAAGATTACAGGATTTTATCACAGGGCAAATGCTAGCCAGTAAGAGACAAATACAGGTACTTAGATGCATTAAGCCTTTTAAAAAAACCCATGAGCTTCATCTAGAAAATTGCCTTGTGTTAAAAAAACCCTTTTGTATATTGGCAACTGCGACTGCAGTAGAATTACTCACAATAATTGGTCTTAGTTTCATTTGTGGCTTTACAGGACTTTGTCATGGTAAGAGAACCTATTTATAGCCAAAGAGGTAAGAAGCCATCAGCAATTACACCATAACTGATCTCTGCTGGAGAAAATGACTAACAATCACAGTAGACATTGACCTTGATGCCAGGAAACAATAAAAAAAAAAAAAAGAAAACCTAAGAAAAAAACCCAAAACACCCTCCCCCTGCATCCAACAACAAAACCAGACAAAAGCAGCTACCATAAGAGACAGAAGCTACCACAAGGCCAGGACAACCAGGAAACAAAAGTAGAGCAGACTTGAATTTAAAATAACCAGGTCATCACACCAAGTCCCCTGGCTAAAACTGTAAGTGTGCTCTCTCTCAGCCAAATTAGCATACCTCAACTCACTTGCCCAGTCAGGATCAGCAAAATAGATGGGCAAGACACAATCTGTGACTTGGTAAACAAGCTGGTAGAAGGTAATGCTACACAGCACAAGTCACGACAAAAGCTACAATAACCAGGGTAAACAAGATTTTTCAAAAAAATTCAGAGGGGTGAGATCCAGTAGAGCTAAAAAAATTAAATTAACTATTTAGAATTAGGAACTATTAGGAACAGAAGGAGAGGAAGAGTTTTTAACCAAGATACACTATGACTAGAGAGTTGTGGTGTCCAGGGTTGCTGCTAGAATAAAGACATTGTTTCACAGAAAATATTTTAATTACAGCCTTTATGGCTGAAGCAAGAATCTTCTGCAAAGTTTTCACAAAGAAAGTGCTGCTTAAACCTTAAGCTTAGCAGCTGACTCTACAAAACCTTTATATTCTGAGGAATGTTATACAATCTGTGTATCAGTGAAGAACTGTGTGTCTGAGTTTCCTGAAAACCAGAAAATAATCTTAGTTTCCAAGACAGAATTATTATTTTCTAGTATTCTTGAAAAAGTAGCAACAGTAATGTTTCCTGTTAGACTTCAGTTTCAATTAAGCAGACCCACATTTTTTAAAGGAGACTTCAAAGCCAGTGACTGGTGCAAAAGCCTTCTAGTATTAATCAGCTTTCAAGCATTCTTTGAGGTGAAAACAAACATTAGGTCCACAGACTTCCCCAAGGAAGCATACCCAGTGTATCCAGAGACTTGTCAGACTCTGCAGTTTTGTCTTTGATGCGTCTCTTTCCCATATTTGTAGTCCGTAATTTTTCTTAAAAGGAACAATGACCTAGCAAAGAAAAAGAGTAATATTAGAAAGCAGGTTTTGGTTTTACTTGTCCATTGCTACACAAATTGTTTCCTTAGCCAAGCTGTCCCTTGAGGTGAATTAACTAATTTTAACTTTTTTCACATTTTTAATGTAATTTTTAAACATTTTCAAAAGGAAGAAATATTAATTATACTTTAACATGAAACAATTGTAAAAGTTGTATAGACAAGATCACAAAACCCAAATGATTTAAAATCTTAAATCAAAAGCATTGCACAAAAGAACATGATTTGAAATTTCGTAATATCAAAATCCTATAAACCTTTAGGATTTGTACTTTAATTAACAACACAGGGATTTTTAGGAAAAGGAATTGGTTTTGTCACAATCAAATCTTGAAGTCCTTTGCACTTTCAACCTTTCTGTTTTCCTTACTGCAAACTTCTCATATCTTTGACGGAGTCTGACACACGCAAATACTCTACACATTTGAAAACATACAGACAACAGCAGTTCCGATTTTTCAGTTTCTTCGCTGGAGATTTATCATCACCTTCCTCACACACCAAGCAAATAATTCAGATGTGTCTGTTACTTGCTATGCCTGTAGACCCTTCTGCGGGGGTAGGCCACGTGGGGAAGCAAGCAGCAGACTCGGTGTGAGTGATAAAGCAAGCTTCAACTTTATTATTTACAAAAGTGATTCTTTTATACACACCTGTTATAAGCATCCACTTATCATTGGTTAACTACTATCACTAGCCCACCTTACACACAACATAATTGGTTATTAACATACCAATCAAAGTGCCCCAATCATTGTTCTCCACCTCTAGCCATCTTCAGCTCCTGCATCCCACAGCCAGGAGCTGCTTATCTTGCTACCTCCTTTCCCACATTCCAGCTGCAGCTGTGTCCTTGAACAGCTTGGCTTGCAGCTTGCTCAGGCCCTGCTAGCAAGGCTGGATTGCTCACGTGTCTGTTAGCAATCAGAACTTCTCCCAACACCCTTCTAGCCCAGAATGATTGACCACTACAGAACCCTAAGCCAAGTGTTTGGCTTCAAAAAGGTGGCTATGGCACACATGGTAGGGCATTTTTAGTTTCTAGTCTGTAGTCCCTGTGCCTCACCTGACAAAAGATCATCCAAGAATAAAACTCAACATATGCTATACAGTTAAAACCACAAAAGGTTCAAAATCAAGTCTCTGCAAGCTGTTTGCTCTAGATGTAAACACAGTCAACACAATATCTGTATCAGTCCATCCTTCATCTGCATCAATCAATCCATCCATCACCCGTATCAATACATGCTTCCAAACCTATTTCTTAGCTTGTACTCAACAGCACACCAGCCACAGAAAACAGCTGTCTGCTTGGAACGGTCACAGCCAAAAAATTAAGCCAGACCAAGAGAACTGGAGAGAAACTAAATTGGGAAGAGCTTAGGCATGATCCTCACAGAGGATTTTTTTGTAGGAAAAGCTTTTTTCAAACATGCTTTTACAGCAGATGACCCAGCTGTTGACAGCAGGTTGGCAGACACATCACACAAGGGCAGAATTATCAACTTTTGCAACTTACATAGTTATAAACTATCTAATAGCTTATAAAGTTATTATAGACCACCCAAAGGAGGGCCTTGAGGGGAAGCCACGTGAGGAGTGGCTGAGGTCACTTGGTCTGTTCAGTCTGGAGGAGACTCAGAGGAGACCTCATCACTGCATACAACTTTCTCATGAGGGGTAGTGGCGGGGCAGGCACTCATCTCTTCTCTCTGGCAACCAGAGACAGGACCTGAGGGAATGGCCTGAAGCTGTGTCAGGGGGGGGTTAGGTTAGACATTAGAAAAAGGTTCTTCCCCCAGGGAGTAGTCGGGCACTGGGACAGCTCTCCAGGGAAGTGGTCACAGCACCAAGCCTGACAGAGTTCAAGTAGTATTTTCTAGACAATGCTCTCAGGCACATAGTGGGATTTTTGGGGATACCCTGTACAGGGCCAGGAGCTGGACTTCAATAACCCTTGTAGGTCTTTTCCAACTCTGAATATTCAGTGATCCTGTGAACTTATCATTCAGTTTGTTCAGAAACTACAGTCCATCCACGAACCCACCTCGGCAGCACAATTTTCTGCAAAACGCTCCACACTTGATCTTATACGAACAACTTTTAGTTGCTAAAATCCTTTCCTAGTTCTGTTTGCTTCTGCCTGGAGGGCAGGACAGCATCAACACGTGTAGCCGCTAATTTAATCCACGCCGTGCGACTGGTCCTACAGGCTCTGCACCAACTTTCCACGGCACTGCCCACACCAGGAAACGTGCTGCACGGCTTGTAACACTGACGCACATTTCGTTTTTTTAAAAACAAGACAGAGCAGTCTGAAAACGACCAAACACGCATCTGCGTCTGACGGAGCCGTGGTAAAACGCTCTAAGGGGCTCGCCCGGG